AGATCTTCCATGGCAAACAGAACCTGTTTTTCCATTCTTCTTGAAGGTCAGGCCTTACTCTGTTGACACAAGGGTTGTTTTCTGTGTCATTTTCTAGCTAAGGCTGATGGTACCTAAGGGTACCTAAGGTACAGATTTTGATTCTTTCTCATCACTTCAAAGTCTACATAAAGATTCTGCTGAGAAGGAGCCCATAATTTTTCATTGTTATGGGTTAAACATACTGACTTTCATTTGATAGGCAAAGTGCCCTGTGATAACAGGTAACAATAATTATAGTTGCAGTAATAGCAACCATTAAGTAAATGTTTAGTATGTGTCAAATGCTGTGAAAAGTGCTTTATATACATACATCCTCTCACATGATCCCCTCAACAGCCCTCAAAAGTTGAAATCGTTACTTCTACTTTACCTAACTAAAAGCAAAGGCCGGGTGCAGTGGCTCATGCCTGTAATCCTAGCAGATTGGGAGGCCAAGTTGGGTGGATTGATCGAGCCCAAGAGTTCAAGACCAGCCAACAAGGTGAAACTGTCTCTACAAAAAAATATAAAAATTAGCCAAGCTTGGTGGCACATGCCTGTAGTCCCAGCTTCTCAAGAGACTGAAGTGGTAGTATTGCCTGAGCCCAGGAGACGGAGGTTGCAGTGAGCCAAGATCATGCCACTGCCCTCCCGCCTGAGTGACAGAGTGAGAACCTGTCTCAAAAAACAAACCCAACAAAACCCCCAAAACAGTCAAGTAATTTCCCCTTGACCATCTAGCTAATGCCTGGTGGAACTAGAGCCAATTTATTTCAGACTCCAAATACCATATTCTTGACCCTTATATTTTAACTTTGTTACTAATACCGTGATCATCTATGACCTAGGGAAACTGAGACACAAGGTGTTGATTCATTAAGGTAACAGTTTGGAGTAGACGGGGTGGACTTGCAATTTATAAACATAAATTTTGCTTCTTAATTGTCCATTCATTCATGTAACTAATATTTATGATGAGGAATAATTAATGCTGCATTCTTTTTATTAGTAACAATATCTGCAGTAAAGTATAACTGAACATCATAAATGTGTTAATAATACATAACAAAATAAATATTAAATGCAATCATCAGTGATATTTCCTACACAACTTACTGCTTTCCTTTAAAAAGCCTTCTTCAGCTTCCTCTAAACCAACATTTTTTAATCTGAGGCCCCACGGGATTCATAGATAAAATTTGAGGTAGGGAAGGGGTGATGTACATGGAGTTGGTTTGGAAAAAACTGACATTTTTATTTCACTAGCATCTAATTGAAATTTGATGTTTTTCAATTACAAATATTGGCAACAAACTGCTGTGAAGTTGTAATATCTCTAACTTTATCACTATGCATATTTTAAAGTATGATTTTGCAGTTGTTACAGATACCTTGAAATATCATTTATGTTCATCTCTATTTGGAAACTAATTGTTATTAGATATACTGCTGCATATATTTATCTAACACTTTAATAAAGACATATATATTCCTATAGCACAAATATTTTAATATTTGATAGCTGCATTTCAATGTAATTTGTCTCTTTTGCAGCCTTATGCCATTTATGTATTTGACAACAATATTGAGGAAAGTTCATGGACTTTACCATAAAAAAGTTTGAGAACTCCTGTTCTAAGTCATGTAATAGGGGTAAACTTTCTTATAAACGAGAGTTGGAGTGCAGAGAGGGTAACTGTGCCTGATCTTTGCAGAGCAAGAAGGTCCTAAGCCTGAGACCATTCCTGAGAAACTCCTTCCCATACACCTTGCTCGGACCAATGCATGTGCAGTTAAGTTTCTCTCTTTGGCTAGCTTATGTCTTCATGATTCCAAGAAGAAGCATGTCCTCATGGACAGAAAACTCAGCAATTGGTGTCTGTCCAAATATTGACTGAGACTCAGGGCCCTGCAGTGTTGACTGGTCATTCAGGAGCTTCACACTGACACCTGGGTGTCTATTGGGCTTTCTTGTGTGATCCCAGGCAAGTTCTTTAAGACTCTGAGTCTTGAACTCATCTTATTATAGTTGGGATAATAAGCCTTGATGTTTATAAAGTGCTCTACAATTTTCAAACTACTACATTACCTCCTCAGTTCTCACAATACAACTTTAGAACTGGATAAGCATTGTCACTCTTATATTATATGTGAGGAAGCAGGCTCTGAGAGATCACAAAACATGCCTAGGATTCTATATGAGTTCAGGGCGAAGTTGGGAGTAGAACCCAGATCTTCATACTCTTAGAAAAATACCCTTTCTCAACGTGGGCAACTTTACACAGCTTACCAACATAAATGTCCTTTGGGCATCTCTCTACCTGCTGTTTTCCTTCTTAAAAACTCAGTTCCTGCAATGACCCTTCATGTCACCCCACCAAAATCCCTTTTTACCCCGCACTTGTGTAGTACCCAACAATGTACCTTTTGATATTGGGTGGATTCCTGCCTTAAGTTTTGACAGGCTTGTGTGCTGTTACTCAGTGTGAATTTTGGGCCTACCACAGTAGCTGGCTGACCTCGGACAAGTCACTTAAGCAGCCTGGGCCTTTATTTTCTCCTCTATAAATGGTGATAATACCAGTTTCACAGGCTTCTTGTGAAAATTGAATAAGAGGATCATGAAGATGGTTTTATAGAACTGTAAAATGCTTTATAAAATGTCACTTGATGCTATCAACAACCAAAATAAAGATAGGTTGGGAGGTGGTAAGGTGCAATGAGTGATTCAGAAAAAGAACCTGAGGGCATGGGAACTGTTCAAGTCCTGGCACGTTTTACTTGCATAACCCTGGAAATACTGCTCTCTCTTCCTGAACCACAGTTCTCAGTTTTGACACAATTTTTTTAGTTCACCTATTAAAGATTTTGTGAAGATAAATGAGACAAAGTATCGAAGCTCTTACTACAATGTCTAACACTCAATAGCTTGTATTGTTGTTGCTGTTATTATTATTTTTTCTGAAGATGAAGATTTTTTTTTTTTTTTTTTTTTTGAGACAGAGTCTCACTGTTGCCCAGGCTAGAGTACAGTGGTGCAACCTCCTGGGTTCAAGCGATTCTCGTGCTTTTGCCTCCCGAGTAGCTGGGATTACAGGCATTCACTGTCACACCCAGCTAATTTTGTTGTTTTTTTGTTTCAGTAGAGACGGGTTTTCACCAGGTTGACCAGGCTGGTCTCGAACTCCTGACCTCAAGTGATCCACCTACCTCGGCCTCCCAAAGTGCTAGTACTACAGGCGTGAGCCACCGCGCCCAGCCAGAAGAAGAGTCTTTTCTTACACATCTTATTGCCCACAATGTCAGCACAGTATTTTGCAAATAACAGGTGCCCAAATAGAATTTTTGAACGAACCACTGATTTTTAAAAAAATTCTATGAGGTAATAGAGATGGAAAACACTGTAAATTTTAAAAATTTCTATCCAAATATCATGCCTTGACATTTTTTCTCAAGTCAGAGACACCGTGTTATAGAACAGAGTTAGCAGGCCTGAATACAAACCAATTCTTGAGACTCATCCCGGCTGTCTCCTGCACTTCTAAAGATTGAAAGGTATTTTAATCTTCCATCCTAAAGATGAAAGGATATGCTATCTATATTGCACTGCTTGGTTCTTCTATGTGACACTGCTTGCCCATCTAATGGGGGTGGCTGCTTTTCAAGCACATGCAGTTTTTCAAGGGTCCATCACTCTCATCAGATGATGAGCTCCATAGGAACCGAGTCCGTATTTACAGCTCTTTGCGTTCTCAGGAGTCAGCATAATGGAGGCCAAAGGGAAGGCCCTCACTGAATGTTTACTGCTGACCATGATGGTTTTACCCATTCCATAGCCCAGATTCCAGGCAGAGGCAGCTGCTAAGGCTTTGACTATATGACCCATTTTCCTTTATTCTTTTAGAGTTCTTTTGAGAAAAGAAGCACTTAAGAGAACTAAGGCACGGATTGAGGATGCTGTGGTTTTTACTACAGCTGTTAATTATTAGCTGATGAATAAAAAAGGAAGTATTAAATGCACAGCTGGTCAAGATCACTCCATCAGATAGAAAGAGGTTAGCCATACACCGCTAGCTTGTTGCTTCTAGGATCTCATGATGCTTGATATTAAACAATTAAGAATGAAAAGACATCTATCTGAATTACGATACGTCTGGAGATAGGAATCTCACTTTTGTGTAGCACTTTTACTGTAAAAATCGCTTTTATTTCCACCTTATTATTTTGTCTCACAATAGCCTTGTAGAGTAGGTGGTATTGTCCCCAGTTTTACAGATGAAGAATCTGGAGTGTAGTGAATTAGATCTAAACCACTCCTTAAGGCTAGGCAGCCAGTATATTTATTATCTATTGCTGTGTAACAAATTACCCCAAACTTTAGCAGCTTAAACCAACAAATATTAGTTATCGCACAGTTTCTGTCATCCAAGAATCTGGGCACTGCTCAGCCGGGTGCCTCTGGCTCAAGGTCTCTCATGAGGTTACAATGATGCTGTTGCCGCAGGCTCAACTGGGGTAGGATCGGCTTCCAAGCTCACTTGTGATCATTGGCAGAATCAGTTCCTTGCAGGCTGTCAGACTAAGGGCTGCAGTTCCTCACCAGCTGTTGGCCAGTTCCTTGCCATGGGGGGTCTCTCCGTAGGGCAGCTCACAACATGGCAGCTGGCTTCCCTCAGAGTGAGCAAGTGAGAAAGCAAGAGAGACCACCCAACATAGCCACAGTCATTTTACAACCCAATCTTGAAAGTGACATCCCAGTATGTCTGCTGTGTTCTGTTCATTAGCCTCACTCGAGGAAAGGGGGTTACAGAAGGGAATGAATAGCAGGACACAGGGTCACTGGGGGCCATCATAGCGGCTGCCTCCATAGCTCAATTCAGTAAAGAAGGATTCAGACTCAGGCTAGTGTTCTTTCTGATACACCATGCTGCTTCAGCCAAGGCCCATTAATTCTTTAACTTGCCTAATATTTATTGCAGAAACTATTCTTGACACAAGGATGCAAAAATAAAATGTGTGACCTGAAGAAACTCACAATGCATGAGTGAGGAATGGACAATTCCAGTACCCACTGGGGTCAAGGCCATGCCAGAAAAAAGCAGGTGGCATTGTGGGAAGTTCACGGTGAGACACACTCCCCAGTCTCAAGAAGCCTCCTGGATGGAGGAGCTGACATCTGAGACAAGTGTTGACAGACTTACGGACTGGCAGGATTGGGTGAGGAGAAGTGGAAAAGGCCTCTCCAGCACCTATGAAAGACTAAGTTTGAGAAAACCTCACCCATTCGACAAAGTGCAAATTATTTAGTACAACAGCCAAGAGATAAGCAGGGTAAGCAGCTGCTGTTCGGGCTGGAAAATTGAGCTGTGTGCAGTTATCAGCCTCCATCACATTGCATCACCTGGAGAGCTTCTAAAAATACCTATACCTTAAATCAAATTAATGAAATGAAAATCTCTGGCAGTCGGGCCTGGGCATTGGCATATTTTTAATCACTCTAGGTGACTCCAAGGTGTTGTCAGAGTGACAACTGTTGGAGTCAATTATAAAAGGGCCTTGTAGACTGTGCTAAAATGTTTACATTTACAAAAAATCAAGGAGGCTTAAAGTAGAGAAGTGATTTGATGAAATTTGTATTTTAGAAATATCATTCTACTCATACAGTCTAGAAGATGGAATATAAAAGCAGAAACTACAAAGCAAGATTCAGGCAAAGAGGTTATTGCAATAATCCAGATGAGAGATAAAGATTAGCAATGGTAAATTAAAGCAGTATCAGTGAAGATTCAGGGGTCAGGACAGATGAATATTATTTGAGAATATTAAGGCAACAAGTTGATTGCATGCAGGGTGTAAGGGAGACGGAGGAACAACTGGTGACTGGAGGTTTCTGGTTTGACACAATGGGGAGATGTGATAATATTTCCCAATAAATGGAATGCAGGAAGAGCAGTGGGAATGAGTGAGGAAATGATACAAATATGAGTTGAATTGGACAGGACTCCTATGTGGGCATGTCCAATAGGCCACTGGATTGATGACTAGAAGCTGAAACGATAGGTGTGAGCTGGAGATAATTATTTAAGAGTCACAAAGCCCAGGGAGTAGCTGAGTTCAACAAGAGACAAGAAAGCAAAGGATGGACCCCTAACAGATAATCGTATTCAAGGGGCAGGCAGAGAAAGGGAAGCTGTCCTCCAAGACAGAGAAACAGCAACCTAAGATTTGAGAAGAAAAGCAGAAGGCAATGGTATCTAATGGAAAAGGGGAGAAACTTTCATAAAAAAGAGGTGATCAGGAGATCCCAAAGCTACAGAAAAGTAAACAATAATGGAGAGTTATGGACGATCCCTTTTTTGAATAGCAGTTAGGTATCAAGCACTTCACAACTCTTTCAATGAGGAATTTGGGGGCAATAACTACAAGAAAAATTCTGATTTTAATCATAAGAACTTCTATTGTTTCATCTATCAAGAAGTGTATGGAGAGAAGACTCCCGTGATAGTACACTAGGGCTGATTAGGATTTACTCCTGAGCTGGGCTAGCGTTACCATCCGAGAGAGTATCCAGTCACCTATAAAAACTTTAAGTTTTTCTTAACCAGTAGAAAGGATGAAATGGATGTTGGATGGGTAAAAAATAGTGTCTGCTACAAATGTTTTTCTTCAGGTATATCCTTGCAACAAGGTAGAGATTATTACCTCCTGTTTTACAGATGAGAAAGCCAGGGGAAGCAGCAGTAAGAACCTGTTCAAGAAGGCACATCTCAGATGTGGAAGAACCATGATTCAACTCGAGTCTGTCTGCTTCCCAAGACTGTGGTATTTAAACAGCTTATAACGAAAATTCCTTCTATAGCTCCCCATAAAAGGGCACACATTTCTTTCTTAATGTATTATTTCAGGCATTCATTCACCACTCATGTATTTGTGAAGGTGTTCTCACTAAATAAACTATTGGGACCTTACTTGACTATGACTTCATCAGTTTATGACTAATTACCTCTCCAACTTGTCAAGATTATTCAGAATTCTAATTTTACTCTGTAAGGTGTTAGTCATTTCTTATAATGCAGGATTAACCAGAGAGAGACACTCTTTCAGCAACATGTTTCAAACTGTGACTGCAGATACCTGTCCCTACATCTTCTTTCTTTCCCTGACACACCTTGCCTTTTATTCATTCCCCTGAATGTCTTTTCCATAAGTAGTTTAGCTAATTTAGCCCTGGAGCCATGCTCAGCGATGAAATAGGCACAGGCTTAGAGAATACTCAATTATTGATTGATTATTAACCTTCCAGCTTCTGCAACCAACATCACCCATCCACATTCCATAAGGGAATAAAGAGCAAATAAACGAATGGGCACCAAATCTAGTGCATTTTTAAGGTAGTATAATTTGTTTTAGGTTCCCAAGGTCCACACTGACCAGTGATGTGCTACTTCCTGCTCAATAACTGTCAGTCCTCCAGTCCATGAAGGACAACTATGGTATATACCCAATACCAACATACAATGAGAAGACGTTGACATCAGGAGAGTTAATAATCATAATAGCTACATTGACTGAGTGCTTACCATGTGCTGGTCACTGTGCTCAGCACTTTAACGCTATATCTCTTTTAATCTTTGACTTTGCAAAGTAGCTGTTCTAAATAACCTCTCTCACAACAGAAGAAACTGAGGCTTCGAGAAGTTAAGCAACTTGTCCAAGGTTACGCAGTCAGGTAATGACAACCTGATATTCCAGTCCAAGTTTTTGGTTTTCTCTTGTTGTTTTTAGCTGCAGAGATGGAAATTCTCAACCATTCTGATATGGTTTGGCTGTGTCCCCACCCAGATCTCATCTTGAATTGTAGCTCCCGTAATTCTCACATGTTGTGAGAGGAACCTGGTGGGAGGTAGCTGAATCATGAGGGCGGTGTTTCCCGTGCTGTTCTCGTGATAGTGAATAAGTCTCACGAGATCTGATGGTTTTATAAAGGGGAGTTTCCCTGCACACACTCTCTTGCCTGCCACCCTTTACTCTTCCTTCGTTTTCCACCATGATTGTGAGGCCTCCCCAGCCATGTGGAATTGTGAGTCAATTAAACCTCTTTCCTTTATAAATTACCCAGTCCTAGGTATGTCTTTATTAGCAGCATGAGAACAGACTAATACACATTCCGTCTTCCAAATGCTTAGATAAGCAAAAGCAGTCTCCTCTTGATTTATTCATTTAAATCACACACAAATTTCTAAATCTCGCTGCTTTATGCTCAGAACTTGAGTTTTAAAGAATAACATTTTACCTATTCTTTAGAGTAAGTTCTTTCTTAAGCCCCCCAATTTTTTTCCACAGAGAGATCAAAACCAGCCTTGTTTAACAAAGGTAAGAAGTTTTGGGAAGGCTTTTTGAGGGAGAGGCTGGCTCATTTCTCAAGTGGGGGCCTCCTAGGACAGTTGGGACAAGAGCCCTGAGTTACCTGTGGCAGAGCACAGAAGGAAGAGGAGCTGCCTAACTTGTATGTAAGAAGGCAGCTATGTTGTTGTTGTTGTTGTTGTTGTTGTTGTTGTTGTTGTTGTTATGGAGTTTTGCTCTTGTCACCCAGGCTGGAGTGCAATGGTGTGATCTCAGCTCACTGCAACCTCTACCTCCCGAGTTTAAGCAATTCTCCTGCCTCAGCCTCCCAAGTAGCTGGGATTACAGGTGTCCACCACCACACCTGCTTACTTTTTGTATTTTATTAGAGATGGGGTTTCACCATGTTGGCCAGGCTGGTCTCGAACTCCTGACCTCAGGTCATCCACCCACCTTGGCCTTCCAAAGTGTTGGGATTACAGGCGTGAGTCACTGCACCCAGCTTTTTTTCTTTTTAAAACAACTATTTAAAGGTCAAGTAAACCTCTGGGAGCCATAGACACAGGAGAATTTTCACCCACTCAGAGGTTCTTCATCATGCACATCAATTGGGTGCTTGGGAGAAGAACTGGAGGCAGGGCCAGGGACCAGAAAGAACATCCCTTGATAAGCAGGCCAGCTGCAGGTAAGGCATGAAAGGTCATCCAGACCCTCTTCCCTAAGGAAAAAAAAAATCACTTGTGGAAGCGCAGCTAACTCTGTCACCCCCAGGTAAAAAATGAAGACTCAGGTGGGCTGGGAATAAAACAAAAACAAACAAGCAAACAAAAACCAACCCTAGAGGAAGGGGAAAGAAATCGCCAGGGAGTAGATTATTAGATGTCTTCCACTATTGGGAGTGGCGCAGGATCCAAGAGAAAGGCTCATTCTAACAACAGGATGCACAGGGCATGCCTGAAACCAGCCTAGTGGCACCAGGTAACAAACAATCGCAATCTAATGAGAGAAACAGGGAAGGGGCAAGGAGAGAGCCTCTCAGATGTTCAGGTGTACAGGGAAGGCAAGAGGCATGGGTGGCATACAGACATTGAGGAAGACTTTCAGGCAGCCAGCCCTCATCAAAGGTAATGTTAGAGGAATCTGAAGCTGGTGTTGCACTAGAAATAGCCACAGCAACAATGCAAGCCAAATCCTGCCTGGGTTTCATTTGGACTTTCTGCAACTGGCAGTTCATGTCAGTTCTCAATTCTTAAAAATATTGTGGCCTTTTCTTCATTTCAATTCTAAACCTCTGTTCTCTATGCTGCATTGTGGCTAATTTCTTGCAATGTGTCTTCCATTGTATATATCCTTTCAGCTGGTTCTAATCTTCGGCTTAGTCTACTCAATGAGTTTTTAAGTTGCAAATATACCTTTTTTTAAAGAAGTAAATAGAAGTTCTATTTAATCTTTAAATCTGCCCTGTCATTTTATATTCTCTTCTCTTTGCTCACGCATTTGACACCTTCTATACCTTTAACATATTAAATATACTCACTTTGTATACTGCATCTGATAAATCCAGTGTCTGAAATCCTGTGGGTCTGATTCTCCAACCTGTTTGTTTCTGCTCTCAACCACAATGCTTTGTTTCTTTCATGCCTTTTCAGTGAACTCTTGTTTGATTTAATTTTGTGTGGAATAGATCCCTGGTGATGGTGCATTCTTCTGTAAAGAATTTGTGTTTGTTTTAGTCAGTTGATAGGGGGTCACCAATCTAATACCACCTAAAAATAAAATTTCCACTTGTACTTTTTTGAATTAAATAGGCAAAATGAATTTTTACGAAAATCAGAAAATCCCCAAAAGGCTAAATTTAAGTGAAAAAACTCTGGGAATATGATTTTTTCTCTCTCTCTCTATGGTTATGTTTAAGTTAACAGTTTTCCTTGTTGACCTTCTTTGTGGTGGAGATTTTTGTTTTTGCTTTAATGAAAGGATTTTCCAAAGGATAAATGACTCTATCCTTTCTGACTTTGTTTACTCTCTCTAATTAGAGTGGGCTCCTATAGCAGGGTTAGTCACCAAGGCCACCAGAAATTAACTGATTTCTCCAGGATGGCCGGTGGTTTTGGATTCCTGCTTTCACTTCATTTTCGCAAGTTGAAATCACTTATAAAAAATAAAGGAACAAAGTGTCCTAGTAGTGTCTATTAGTCTTGTCCTGGATTTGAATCCCAGGTCTGCCATTTTAATTATTGTGCAATCCTGGGCAATCTATTTGCTTTTCTGAACTTGTTTGGTCACTTGTAAAACATGAATAATAGTGCTTATCCACATATCTGGCTCTCATGAAGACTCAAGATAATGAATATAAATTGCTTAGAACAAAGAAGAAACCTTGCCTGGCACTTAATCAGAGGCAGCTGTTACAAGTTATTAGCAGACTCTCTTGGCATAAATGTCTTGAAATCTTTAAAAACAAAATTGGTCATTTTCCATACAGGCCTTCTGCCCACTCAACCCAGAGTGGTAGTAACAGAGAAGAGACCTGGTTTGGAGGCAACTGGGCTGTTATAGACGAGTAAAGGTGCTGGTCAGTGGGATCTCTGTTTCCCCATCTTCTGTTGCGTTGTTTGTGTCCCAATTAGAAACGATCCAGTGGCATAAATGACATATCTCAAATGTACAGGTGAATAAATAAATAAATTGGGTGGGGAGGATGTCAACTGAGAGTTGACTTCTATTATTAAGTGCTGTTGTACAGAATCTTAAAGAGTAATGAGGAATTAGCTCAATGGTATTTGGGCAGATTCTCCATCTGCCAGGGTGATAGCCTTAATGATTACTTCCATAACATCCAAAGGGTAAATTTAATTCATATGTTCCTGATCCACTTACACTAATGTAATTTCAACTTGACCTGATAGACACTGACTGATATACAGACTGTCCTCTCTCCTTTTGGTTAATTTGGCCAGATGAAAATTAATGAGAACTTAATGTTCATTTGAAAATAATTAGGTCTATTGAATTTTACATGTGGCAAACCATCTTTATTTTTAAAGGATTTTAAGAGTTTGTTGACTGACGGTTATGTGACTATGGTCACTTTGGACTTTTTCATTTATTGTGCCCTGTATCAATCATTTTAAAGTCTTTCAAAGAAATAATAAATTATGGCAGCATCATTAACTGAAAGCTCTCCAATATCTTATGGAATTTTTGTCTATAGGAGTATGGAAAGAATCCATGGTTTATATTCCTTCTCAACTCTTGAAAGATGTTTATATCAAATTGAATTGATTTTGTTGGCAACTTTATCCCTTCCAATGTTCATTCAGCCTTCAACAAATATTATTGAACCCTACAATGAGTCCAATTGGTTGGGCTCCCTGGGATACAGATTGCAAATTATAAACTTGCTTGCAGGTTTATTGAGAAGGTACAACATCTGCGAGTGAGGGAAATTGGACTTGGTAGAAGAAGTTAAACTGTGCTGCAGTTTTGACCAAGGCCTCAGCTGGCCCTTCAGAGAGTTCTGGAGCTGGGGATAGCCTTTGAGAGTTGTCCTGAGTTGAGGCAAGTGTCCCAGGCCTTTGTACCACTGTATTGACTAATCACTGGGTTACAACTT